GTTTTTGGAGGTTTTTTTTTTTAAAGATTGGTTTGAGCATAGGCATCTGGCATGAGTAGGAAATGCCTATCTTAGCCACTAAATGCATCCACATAATTCTGTTTTTTTTCTTCTATTATTTTGCATATTCTGCAGTGATACCTCTCTGGACAATTTCCAACCATTGCTAAATGAATTTATAATCATTTACAATGGGAGCAAAAAAATTAAAAAGAAAATTTTCATCAATGCCTTCCTGATTGGCAAATCATTTACCCTATCTTGATAGGGATGAATAAAAATAGATTTCAGAGATGACAGTGTCATTTGTCATGCTGACTTTATATATATATATATAAAGATTAATTTTCTTTGCCAAATTCTCTGATTCTTATAATGCAGTTTAACATTAATGAAGTACTACTTTTTATTAATAAACTTGATTTGCCAGTAATTTGAGCATTGATATTTTTTATAAACATTGAGCCACGAAAATAAATTGAACTCTTGAGGGCACAGAAATTGTTTGTGTCTTATTCCTCCATCCATTTTTTTTAATTTAGTTTTTTATCATCTCTTCACTAAATTTCCTATTCTTTTGGTAAAACAACTTTAAATTTTGAAATTATGCCAATCTTTTAATAAAAAAAAAATAGGCAAGAGCAGCTGAGTTTAAACAAGAAAAATACTTCTGGATTTTCTGCTAAATATCAATTATGTATTCCCACTAAATATCTGTGTGATGTATCTTTCCTGCATAACAACAGCTTTATCATATTGAATACAACAATGATCCCTTCTCCTTTCCTTTTTTTTTCCCCCTTTGTACTCTTTCAAACAAGTTTGCTCAAGTCAGTTTCAACATCCTTAACAATTCAGCTGAAGTTAAATTTTCATCTCACAAGACACTATCAATACCATCCAATATGTTTTCAACAAAGCAATACAGAATAAAAGCAAAATCCAAGACAGGCTGAAATTTTATAAAACAGTTATTCCATAGAAATAAGATACCAAAGGTTTGGTTATGGAAAAGTATGCCTTCTGTTGGCCACAAGTCTATATTTGAAATGAGTAAAGTGTTACTTACTTTGCCATGTTGTAGGGAAATGCTCATGGTGAAATAGTGATTTTTTCCAAGTGTAGCTTGGATGTGGCACAAGGCCGAAAGTAAGGGGCACCCAGTGAGGATCGAACTCACTACTCATTCATAATAGTTCCAGCGAAACAAGCTTGCTAACCATTACACCATCTCGAGGTGCCCCTCATGGTGAAATAAAGATTTCCTTTGACAGCATCAGTTTATATAGGCATGAGTTCAGCTGTTACTGCTACTAGGCTACTGGTTACTGCTGCTGTGGCTACCATATCTTTTCTATATCCAGTTGCCAGGAGACTTAATTCATTACACAACTGCCTTTCCAGCAAGATAATTAGAAAACAATCTCAAGAAATATATGCTTTTGTTTTTTCTTTTTCTATGTAATATAGGATTGATTATTGATTTTTAGACCATTTGATTTCTCAAATACCTTGTTTTCAAAGTTTATTATAGCATGGAAAAAAATCTTCATTAGCAGTGTCTACATGTGCTGACCAATGAAGATGTTTTCTTTTTTATTGTTATAGTAAAATTGTTCTGTAGGAATAGAATATTGATTTGATTGAGGAAAAAGCAAATCATTTGTTGAGCAGAGAGTCTACATTTGAAATAAATTGCCATGCTATAGGGAAATTCTCTAGTTGAAAAAGGTTTCTTTTGACAGTTATATATATTAATTACTGCTGATGTAACTACCTACCTTTTCTACACCCTATGCTCTGCGCCAGGGGACCTAACTAACTACACTTTTCAAAAGATAGCATACCTTTTGAATTTGCAAAACTTGAGAATCTTCCTATTTTACAAATGTTGACTCCTTTTGACTACACTGAACAGTGATTTTATACTATTTTAAGAATAGTTAAAATAAACATCTAATCTTTACTTCATTGTTAAAAACTTGAAGATAAGTTCATCATAAATCATTTTCTAATTTTAAAGAAAATCATTTGAGTAAACTTGGCTTTATTTTTTGCTGTTAGTTTATGGCTAATTTTTTCACAAATTAGACTTGTATTTATTTTTAAAGGATTTTCTGCCCTTAATTTTATCTTTTCAAACATGCCTTTTCATATGAAAATTTTTACTTCAAATTCTTCACTTTGATTTATAAATTTAACAATGTTCTGATACTGGCTAACTTTATATATTTTATTTACTGAGTTTAACAGAAGTTCGCAACTATAAAGCATCTAGAACATACTTTGTTGTTTGTTTAGTTAACTTTCTGATCTAGCAGATTGTTGGCGAGGGGGACCTATATTCTTTCATAGCATCTTCAGAGCAAAGGTGGTTACTTAGTAGTGTTCATCTCTTAGTAATATAAGATTATAGGGACATTATTAAGTAGTACTGGTTTACATAGTGTCTGTAGCAGAGAACATTCCCTGACCTGACTGTATTTTTCTGTTAATCATGCCAGTGACTTTTGTCAATGAAATAGTACAGGAAGAAATATCCATGAATTTTCTAAGAGCATTGTGAAATGAACATGCTCAAGTTTCAGTCATAATTCAAACTGTTTGGCAATTGGGTTTTTCGTAACAATAACTCTTACACATCCTCATATTTTCAGTTAATGAAATGAGGACACTTGCAGAAAGACTAAAAAATAGATTATATGATAGTTGTAGTTTTTAGCTTTAAAGCCTATGACTATATTCAGAGAAAGTACACTTTAAAATTTGTAAAGATACAGAATCTGTTAAAGAAAATAAGTGAGGAAAATATCACAAACAAAAATAATTTTAAGTGGTATATGATATGACATAAAACTTATCCAAGAATGTATAATACTCATTATTTAGTATATAGTTTAGCATGCCTGTCACTGAGAAAATAAAAATTACTGAGATAATCTTAAAATTCTGCTTATTAGTAAAGGGAAACTGATTTAATAGACATAATTGGGATAGTGAACTCATGAAGAAGAAAACAAGGTAGCATACCTATGAAATATGTAGTCAACTGAAATAGGGTCCCACCAACTGAGCTCCATAAAGGTTTGTTTGTTTGTTTTTGTTTTTGTCTTTTTTTGTTTTTTGACAGGCTCCAAGCCAACAGAGAGGAGTCTGATTGGACCCCATCCCCTAAAAAAAATGAAAATGTAAATACAATTCTAAACTTGGGTTGGCAAAATAAAAGCAGTAATGAGTTGATATAGAATGCTTTCCAGTGATTGATTTATAATTTTATTTCATCTGAAAATGTATGATGGAGCTTTGTTATTATTGCATGAGTTATTGCCAAATTTTCATCTTGATGCAAAAGGGACTTGATAGCTGATAACAGAAGCAAGTTTTCATTTGAGAGTTGCATGCATTCAGGCTATACTAAAAGGTCAGAATTTCAAAAACTGTTTTATCTTTTAAAACTTTAGTAGTGAATATATTTCTAACATCCAGGCATACAGACTGCAGTTACTTTTACTGGAAACAAAATTTAAGAATAATGACTAAGCTTAAGGTAACTGTAAAAACCTTGGAAATAATAATATAAAAAAAATGTAAACTATTAAATGTAAGACAGTTTATATCTAAGTGAATATTTTACAGTTTGTTTCATTGTGATGATATAAATTGTTTAACCTGTTCTGATAGTGATTCTGATGTTGGCTATTTGTATCAGGTAAATTATTTATTCTCATTTGCTCTTTGATAGCCATTCAGTTTTATTATAAGCTGCTCATTAGTTAAAGAAAGGCTGTTTTAAATGTATTAATAAAGGCTGAATATTCAAATGATATGATGAAATAGTTTTAAAATTCTTTGTCTTTAAATGTTGATTCATAGAAATTTATACTTTACTCTTGTCCTTAGCTATGGATTAGAAATTTTCTTCTCTGAAGATAAGATTAACAGAATGAATCTGACAGTTACTAAGCTTAATACCAAATTGAGGTCAAAGATAGGATGCCAGCTCTTCAGTCTTGAAAATCAGCATTACTAGAATGAGATAAACACTTTCAAGGCATATTAATAATCTTAAGCCATAAATAGCTTTTTTGTAAAATATCAAGAAAAATTGTAAGGAAGGAATGATTGTTAACTAGTTGGTTTCATAGCTCATTACAATTGTCAGGAGTTTGATTATTACTGGATGTCTCTTAATTGCAACCTTGTACTTTATACAAGAAATAGTTTGAACAATGGATAATGGTATTGACCACCTGAGAAGAATAAAAAATTGTTGACTGAAATGTTTTAAATTTCAATTTTACAATGAGCTTAGCTAGCTCCATGTTAATGAATGTTAAGTTTTTTTTTTGTTTTTTTTTTTTTCCTCCCCACTTTTCATCTCTGTATTTAACTGCTTGAAAGAAATATATTTAGAGTGATTTTTTTTTTTTTTTCCCCAAATTTTAACATTTTGATTTTACCAACACCAGATTTTGATTTTTCTACTCAGGAAAGTAAATGGCTATTTACTGAGAGATTATTTAAGAAATTCTTGTTTAAAAAAAAAAAAAAAAAAAAATTTTTTTTTTTTAATACCAAATTGAATTTGAAAACATTGAATTGCTACTATATTATTTTTATTTTAGTGTCAGATGCCTACCAACAGATATTATTTGAATGCAGTTTTAGACTAGTGTCCATATCAAGATTTATATTTTGTTACCTACATACATTTTAAGCATTTTGATCTGAAATCTGTCTCTGTTGTGGAGACATTTGAAATTTTAAAGAAAGATTTTTTTTTTAATTGCAGTGTTGTCCCTTATTCTAATATGTAGTTGATTTATTTAATATATATATATATATATATATATATATATATATTGAAAGAAAAAGTGAGAATTCATATTGTCTGTGTTGGCTGTGTTTCAGTGTTGCACATGTGTCACATTGCCTACCACGTGTGTGCTTCTTCTGCCGCCTGACTAAAAAAAATCCCTTTTTTTCTAATCCTTCTGTAGTGACAACGGATGGCGAAGTTGTGTGGGATATGCCAAGCGATCTAATCATGCCTGAATTCTGTAAGTGTCCGCACAGTTCTCCATCGTCAGCCATGACAGTATTGCCTTTATATATCTATCTCTTCATCTCCTGGGGGAGGAGATCTCTTATATTACTGATTTAATACCTTTCAATTTTTTATTTTTTTAACTCTAAATAATTATTCTTACTTGCATTTTAACCACTAATTTAATTACAATGATGAATATCATTACTAAACAAAATTAAATTACTAAAGCAGTATTTTTATTAATGTCTGTTCTTCAGGCAGTAACATGTTCCCCCATCTCCTTTCTCTCTAAATTTTTGACTTTTTAATTTGTTTTTAAATGGGATGAAAATTTTAAATTCTTTCCTACCTCATGGAAAGCTTAATTCTCTCTAATCATATAAAAGATTATTTCTCAATTATTTTCTATTTAAAATTGCATAGAAATAAAATTGCTTCTTTATTCTGAAGATTATTCTCTTTTTAGTGTTAACTAAAATTGCTGCTAAAAATGTTTTATTTCACATTTGATAGTTGAAAACTGATTTTGAATATTTGATAGTCAACTGCATATCAAAAATTCATGCCCAGTATAAAACAATCCCAGGTGAGCATACATTAACAAGGTTACAAAATACTCCAGAGAGAGAGAAACCAAACAATAAACACTGAGCAGATTCATTACTGCTCAGCCAACTCTCATCAGCAACCAGAAGATGTGGTCATGATGATTTTTGAAGGGCTAAATCTGATGGCATTGACACGTTAATCATTCACACCTCTTTAGATAATCTGATATACTTACAACAAAATTGTCTTGTTAGAAAAGTATAAAACAAGAAAGCTACACTTGGTTTCTGGGAAAGGCACCCACTACGACTTCAGTCATGGCATTTCTTAGATTGATTTACATTGTGCTGCACTGTAAATTAGTGAAAACTCTGTTCACAAATAGCAGCTTGTATGTTCCTTCTTGAATAATTTAGCAAACAAGTGTACACATAAGGGGATCTGATGGATATATCAGTCATAGAAAAGCACCCATTCATCCCTACCATTCCTTATTTTCTCTCTCTCTCATACACATACACACAATGCACACACACTCTCACTTTATGGTAATCTCCACATTAACTTTTCTTACATTTAATACTTATACCCCCAAATTAATACATTTTAAAATCTGAATGATATTCAAGGCACTTTCCTTGAATCAAAAACATCTTTTACAGAGAGAAAAAGCTTTCCATGTGCAAAACTCATTTATTTTCTCATTTCAGTAAAATTTTAAAAATCGTTTATACTATAACCCCTATCACTGCCATTTTTCTTTCTTCTCCAAAACTCCTCCTCCTCCTTTCCTGCATAAAAATATAAATATTCCAATAAAAATGGATCCAGTTAATCCAAATAAGTGATTTTTTTTTTTTTTCAACCTGAAAAATTTGAACAATTTTTTTATAATATAATCATAACAAAATTTCCTTTCCTTTCCAGCTTTTTCTTTCTTTTTTGTTGTTAATTTCATTGTTCATAACTTGATTAAGGTTCTGTAGTGTCTATTACACACATTCCTATTTGAAACTGGATCCAAGTTTTTCAAAAAAAAAATTTAATCCTTATTACATATTCCTTTTTTTTTCTTTTTCTTTTTAACAATTTAAATCCTGCTGTGCTCAAAGGTTGAGCCACAAATGAATTTTATCAGGGGTTTTCTTCCTTTTACTTTTGCACACAACAAATAAGAGTATATACTAATTTGAATTTGAGCCCGTTTAAAATGAAAAACCTAAATCTTGGCTTTTCACTCTAGGAAAGATATTATCCAGCATTTGAAAATTAAATCTTGTTTTTCTTTTTTGTCAGTGTGCATCATGATTCTAAATTTTCTATATTTTCAAGAAATTAATTCAACAAAAAATTTAACATGAAGCATTGAAATATGTTTCTGGTATAACTGGATTGTTTTATGAACATATTTTGTAAACTAATAAGGTGCTTAAGTCATCCACAGACTGTATCACAGCCCTTTAGTGTGGTTAGACGGTCGATTGCTTCAAGCATCTTTTTCCAGAAATAGTTGCTCTTATTTAATGCATTTTTATCAAATCTATATTATTTTGCAAAAGCATTGCTTTATGAAAGACCAAGAAAGATTAGGGACAGAGTAGCAAATCTATTAAATGCACACCTACTACATATATGAACCAGCATCAAACAGTCTACTAAACATACTAGTTTAGATTTGAAGTATTGCCTAATCTACAGGTGTGAATTCTTGAGATTACTTTCATAAATATTTCAGGCAATTTAGCATTTTTTTCCTTGTTCCAAAAACATTGAATCTGGACAGGTATTTATCAAAACATTTAATTATTACTTTGCAAAAAAATTTTGACAATTTAGAAACTGGCTTAGGTAAAATTTTAGTCTTAAAGCAAATTTATATATAAAACTGGAAGTAAATCATTTAAGGGAACAAATTAAAACTTGTAATTTACAATTATAGACATTTTAAAAATGTAGACATATTTAAAAAAGAAAATACTAAAATATTTGTCAAAATAAATGATGGTTACATATTTGTTTCTAAGTTTAAAACATATTCTCACTAAACTAGCGATAAACCTATGTACACCTAATCTGTGTACAAGTCTAGGAGTAACTATTAATAGATAAAAAAATATTATATATGCTGAAATTTTCATCATTTCAGTATAAAGTGAAATAATAAATGATAAATATTTTTTTGTTATTCAATGTTTCAGGATCACCGACCCTTAGTTCATGAGTTGTTGGGGATTTACTAAGTTCTTTAAAATGTTTTGTGTTATACAGTGCTTTGTTAATAAATTTGTTCTGTTAACAGCTACATTTATTGAGGTCTCTCAAATTAAGTTTGTAGGCAAAAAAATTTAGATGTTCAAGTAGCATAAAGGTTATTGGTGACAAAAGTAGAAGTTGCAAGCAAAGTTCAAATTCTGACCTAGTCTATTGTGTCCACTTTGCACTAATTCCCCCGGAAAAGGCATGAGTCCATCTACCTGCTTAGTTATAAATAGCAGGATATGCGAGGCTCTCACAAGTGACAGCCAGTCAAAACCCTGAAGAAAGCATTGGAAAACCATTCTATCTTTTGCTAAGAAGTCATGGTAATTCACAGATAATAAAGAACAAGAAGCTGTGGAGAACCATAATCACTAACACCCTGAAGTGATAGTGCATTTAAGAAGGCAGCCAAAAAGCTAGAAATTGAGAAATATACATTATTGTAAATTGAATATTTCATGGTATTTCAAATGTCATATGATGAATACTAATGATTTATGTTCCTGAACAAAGTATTGTTTATTTTTTTATTTCATTCTGAGTATGAAATTTAGATATTTATGTTCATTATTGAAACAATCAAATTGAAAAAAAAAAAATGGCTTCAGCAAATTTTCCCCTTCAGTGTCTCAACCATCACCATTTCCAACTACCAGCTCATTTCCCTGATATCAAATTCATATTGTGGCCCAATTTTTGTACATGTTTTTATTCATTTTTTTTATTTTTTTTTTTTTTTTTTTTTCAACATGTACATGATTTATCCATGTATATGTGCAATTCATGTTTTTTTCTCTTTTCATCAGTTATTCACATGCACTCTTGATACAATGCATGTACAGTTTGCATGTGGTAACCCTTGTATATATGCATGTGTCTTTAGTTATAGTTTTAACACTTGCACATTGGAATGATATTTTGCCTTCAGCTTTATTCATTTGGTACTGGCCAAAATTTTTGCATGTACTTACATTTTTTTAAATATTAAATTTTATATATTTTATTCTTCAAGAAAATTGAAGAAAAAAATTGTATAGTGCAACTCTCCTTAAAATTTGTTGCCATGGAAACAGACAAAAGAAAAATAACACCTACTATATAAGTAATTCACTGAAACATTGGCTTTTGGCAAACTTAAGTTTTTGTTTCGTTTAAAAATCACAAAATCTTGGAATATATTTTGTAGTTTTTTTATCTACTACTCGGCATAAGTTAACATTTTTTGCTTTATCAATTTAAAATGAAATTACTCATAGTAGCAGCAAAAAGTTGTTATACTCTTTCCTAATTTTGATAGGGGCCAGTTATTAGGGACATGTATAATTAATAGTGGTTTATACTTTTTAAAAAAGTGTAGGTGTAGATTTTATTTCTCAAACCCATTCAATCTCTCCTTTTCCCAATCTTTAAATACATTAACCTTAGCTCCTTTTTTTTTTTTTTCACTTAGTTTACTTTTATTTTTTCAAAATGAAAATAAAACTGTATATTTCATGTTTAAGCTGTTTTTATTTTATTTTTTTAGATATTTGTTTTATTACTTTTATTATATTATTATTTGTAAAGAAAAACTACTTTGTTTTTTATTATTGCATGCAAATTCATAGCTTCCACCTTTCCTCCTTGCCCTGCTAGGTTTGAGTGAGTGTCACTGGGTGCATTATATATGCATGATAGTATACATGTGTATAACATGCATGCATGTGTGCACACATACACACTCACACATACATAAAATACCTTCATGCTTCAGCTTTTTAAAAAATATTGCATGTTCCTAAGTATGTTCTCTCTTTGCATGTTGTGCCATGTGTGTGGTTTGAATATGACTACAAATTGTGAATATCTAAAAACAGAACCACAAAAGAATACTTTTTATTGATTGTGAAAAAGACTAATGATGTTTTTGCATGCAAGTTTACCAGTCAAACAATTTTCATTACAATATTTTTCTCTTAGCAGGATGTGTGTTCCAGATATGCTTTTAATTTTCATTACTTAAAATTTGTTATTGAGAATTTCTTAAAAAATATTCAGGAAAGGAATTTTTAAAAATATCTAATATATCTACATTCTTACATGATGATAATGAATGGCAGTTATAAGCCTTAATTAAAAGAAAGTAGTTTTGTTTCATTAATAAATTTTTCAATGTTTTTTTTTAATTTGTATTGTTTTTCTAAAAAAAAGTTTTTAATTTTCTTTCATGATATTAAAAATATATTTTTAAAGGCATATCTGAAATATGTTGCTATATGCTAAGATGCTTAAACAAGCTTTTAAGTTCATCCTGACATGATTTTGAG